TATTTTAGTGCCCTCTCTTAATAGAATCATAGAAAATTAGGGTTGAAAGGGACCCCAGGAGGTCATCTAGTCCAACCCCCTTTTCAAAGCAGGACCAGCCCCAACTAGATCATCTCACCCAAGGCTTTGTCGAGCCAGGCCTTAAAAACCTCCAAGGATGGAAATTCCACAGCCTCTATGGGGTAACCTGTTCTAGTGCCTTACTACCCTCCTAGTGAGGGTCTTCTGTACTATCTAACCTAAATTCCCTTGCTGCAAATGGAAAACATTTCTCCTTGTTCTGTCATCTGCCGCCACTGAGAAGTCCAGCTCCATTTTCTTTGGAACCACCCTTCAGGTAATTGAAGGTTGCTATTAAATCCCCTCTGAGTCTCCTCTTCTCCAGACGAAGTAAGCCCACTTCCCTCAGCTCTCTTCATAAGTCATTGGTTTCAGCCCTCTAACCATTTCTGTTTCCCTCTGCTGGACTCTCCAATTTGTCCATGTCCTTTCTGTAGTGGGGAGCTCCAAAACAGGACACAGGACTCCAGATGTGCCCTCTCCAGTGCCGAATACAGGGGAAGAAACACCTCCCCCGATCTGCTGGCAATGCCCCTAAGGCACCCCAGTATGCTGTTAGCCTTCTTCTCAGCAGGGGCACACTTGGCTCAGTCAGCTTACTGTCCACTGTAAACTCCAGGTCCTTTTCTGCAGAGCTGCTGCGTAGACAGTCGGCCCCCAGTCTGTCCTGGCGCTTGGGATTGTTCCGTCCTAAGTGCAAGACTTTGCACTTGTCCTTATTGAACCTCATAAGATTTCTTTTGATGCAATCCTCCAATTTGTTGAGGGCTCTCTGAATCCTAGCTCTATCCTCCTGCATGCTACCCCCAGCTTGGTGTCATCTGCTTGTTGTCAAATATTGGTGAATATTTACCTCAGAAATAAAAAATGAAACTTTAAATATAGAAAGAGCATTTTACAAAAAAGAAAAGTACCTAAGGCACTTAAAACTTCAGGCTGCTTTAGTTTGTGTCCCTCTTTTTGGGTCTTTATTACAAAAAAGGTTTCCTTATTTGGTGTATGACAGTTTAAAAGGTGTGACTCCTCATTCAAATATCACCCACGTAGCAAAGATTCTCTCATACACCTTGAACTAAAAATACCACCCAGTTATCATTTCAATATGGCATCATTCCTGGATACTGGTAAACCTCCCAGACCTTCCCTTTGAACCCAGAAACCTTCTTGAATCAAATACATCTTTTGTAAACTCCCTTCCTGTCTCATTTTAGACCTGTTACCAACATCCAAGTTTGCCACAAAAAAAGTTTTCCTCTCCCGCCTTCTACCCCTCAGGTCTGAGATGGTAGATAGAAGAAGATAAGGATACCCCAAGGTATGCACAATGTTGGTACAAGTCTGCTTCTAGGTATTAAAATAATTAGGGTTTTTTAATCCAACACTAACAGCCTTTGATACAAACACAAACCAAAATATAAAAAGGCCTCAGTTATACAGTGAAATTGCAAACGATTTTTTACAGAATAAAAACAGTGTAAACAGGCTATACAATTCACCAAATCAATATGAAGCTATTATATCCTGAAATTATGAAATGATATAGTATAATAAATGCAAAACAACTCCACTGAAGGGTAACTGAAGGTCTTGTTTCTTAAAATCAATTAAAATTACATTACTAATAGCTCAATATTGCAGAATCTTGTTTCTTTATTCTCCACAAAGTTCCGCGGACCAGGCATCAATTTTTTTCAGGATAGGGCAAAGGATGTATCCAGCAAAACAGACTGTGTTTCATATCATGAGCCACAAATGAATAAGCCATAACAAGGGAGCCACCTTGAAAAATGTATCTAGTCAAATAAAACTGTGTTTTTACTTTATATTAGTAGATCCGTTAAAAATACATATTCTATAAGGGATAAATTGCAATTAAAGTGATGAAATACAGGTCCCTCCTCCAGTATTTCGAAGGCAAAGCAAGCAAATAGGAGGCAATCTCTTCTTAACTGCTTGTGTAGTTCTGTACTTTTTTTTAGTAAGAGCATACATGGACTGCACCACAGCTAGGCTGCTCTAGAGCTAATTTTATGGAATGTTTGGATTATATTTTTATATAAATTAGCAAAAGCTGATTAGCTTTAAAATAATTTCTATGCAACCTGTGATAACATGCTTCTAAAAGGTTTTATTGTGCTAAAAATGCCCATAAAATCAGTTCTTTATAAAAAGCAGGCACACTACTACATTGCCTCAGTTTAAACAGATTACTCAGGAAACCTCAGCACCCTGGTAAACTGAAGTATCATTAAGTCACAATGGAGGTAACTAGCTGATATGACATGAAAGAACACAAAATAGAACTAAACCACCCTGCTCTTCAGGAAGAATTCAACAGACAAGAGTAATGCAGAACAGGGTACTCTCAGAATGAACTCTCCAAATGTCAGATTACAGAAAAACATTATTAAAAGCCTCTTAATATAACATTGACTACACACAGTATGAAGGCAAAGAGGAAATAAAAATAAAATAAAAAACGACCACTTTTATTTCAACCTTAAAATGGAACCACAAAATATAAATGATACTGTAAAATGATTTCTTATTATTTTATATCTGTCACACGGCAACAACAGAAAAGAGGTAGAGACCCCTTTCCCAGGACCAGAATTGCAGCGGGAGAACCCTGCAGCCCTGGGTGAACGCCCCCGAAAGCCCTGTAATGGGAAAATACTCACCTGGCACAAGTGTGGCAATGGGGAGCCAGCAGCAGTAGGAAGAGCTGTCCACGTGATTCATCAGCCGCTTACCTGTGCGGCTGGGGCCAGTGCTGAGCAGTGAAGTCATCCAGCAGCGCCAAATGGCACCCTTAAAAGCTGGCTGCTGGGAAGAAGCTGGGGAGTAACAGCTGAGAGGCAGCTGTGCGCTCCCCATGGTATGGGCAGCACTACCTCCAACCAGGGGTCTAGGGCAGAGGGCAGAAGAGGAGTTTGCCCCTCATCAGAGCAGCACCCAGTGCCAGACCAAGGAAGGACGCCCAGGGACTGACCACTGAGTCGCATGCACAGACTCACAAGTAGGGATGAGAAACAGCAGCCTCCCTGATACTCTTCCATTTGATTTCTTTATACATTTTCATTGCCCCTGAGGCTGGAGAGTAGGCACACATATTGCTCTTGGGGCTGAGGGACCAGGGGCCCTCAGGGACTCTAGGCAAGAACTCAGAAGGCCTACCAGCCTGGCCAGCAGCCCCCAGTAGGAAGAGTGACCACCTGAGTGTAGTGCAGGCTCTATAGGCCGAGCATGGCTATAAGAACCTTTGTACGGCAAGCAGCTTGCAACTACAAACTGCACTCATAACCACATCCAAGGCCAGATCAGGGCCATGCCACAAGGATTGGTGCCTACGGGGTTCTAACCATCTGCCACATGGTCATGTCCATCAGGTTGGCGCATGGAAGGAGTTTAGGGGAGGTGGCACCCCAGGAACATCCACAGGCAACACCTCCGGCCAAGTTTCAGCTATAAGGGAACCTTCCGCACTTGGACAAGACAAAGATGTAGCGCGTGAGTATTGGGCACTTCCCTTGAGAGGTGACTTACGGTTAGTGCAGGTGCCCAAGAAAGAGAATAACTGAGTCAAGAACACCCAACCCTGAGCAGTTCAGGAACAGTTACTCAACTTCAGACAGGCACAATATCATTTGGTGAAGTTGGTTTTTGTATTTAGCTTGAGTAATGTTAATGTTAGCATACTTATATTTCATTGCATAGTTCCCTTGTATTGACATAGTACAGTTGGTTTAGATATCTACTAGGGGGAGGATCCAATTTAAGCCTCATGAAAACATATATGACTTAAGATTCTGTAAAATCCTATTTTTAACCAAAAAATGTGGTTTTATTAACTGTTAACTATGCAGTTAAAAAAATTAAAATCAGTAACAGCACAGTTCTAGTAAACAACAAAGCAGACCTTACACAAAAGCAGATAAGAATAAACACCAGCGCTAATCTTTTCAATCCTGCTGAACCATAAACATTTTTTAATGGAGTTTCTGAACACATGTACCTCACAGTCTGTGCTGACGACTGTTTCTTGGGGTTACCCAGTATATTCAAAACCACTAGGAAGCCAGATGCCAAAAAACACGGTGTCAATTTGCAAGAGAAAAAAAATTAACTAGTCAAGTGTATGTAAAGTGAACCTTATTTTTCATCAATCTCATGTCATCAGACTACCAACAATATCATACAAATAATGTTTACTGGTTTCCACAGCTATCTTTTATAATGATAGGAAAGTTTATGATTCCTACAGTCTTTGACAGTACTTGTCACTACTGACAGAATTATACATTAAAATACTGTTGAAAGATACTGATTTTATTACTTTGAAGTACTTATTTATATGTCCTGCTGTTATGGCAAATGAAGTATTCCATCCATCTCAATTATTTTCAAGGAAAAAAAGGAATCCAGTCATTACCTTTAGCAAAATATAGAATATTAATATGTTGTTTTTCTGGTTTATTTCAGAGGACCACAATTCATGGGTGCTGTGTAAAACTGTGGTAGCCTAGATATTAGCAAGTAGTGAATACTCCCAATATAGAATCTGTTAAGATATGTTTATTATGAATAGGACTATAAGATACAATGAAATTGTGCCAGAAAGCTAAAATTACATTAACGTTATTTTTAGATGAGGAAATATAGTAATAAGTACTTGGATAAGTACTGCTAAAATAGGTAAGATCTAAAAACAATGCTGGTTTAACCATTTGTTGTAAAATTATGTTACATTTCTAACATTGTAGCTTCAGTAACATTTATAGCCCAAAACAGATTAATATAGTATTCTCACAAAACAGTCACACATACTCATGACCTTATATTACAGCCTCCCAGCAGAGAGACAAACAGAAATATAAAACTAACACTGTTTCCACCTGCATGTTTAAAACATTAAACTATTTCCATAAATGACACATTACCTCTTTAACGGCACATAAAAATCCTTGAAACAGCCCAGGTCACGCATTAAGAATGTTCAGCGAGTTTAATGTAGCATAAACATCATGCCTGTGTGTTAAAAACATACAAGTCACAAAGTAGTATTTCTAAAGCTACACTTGAAAATAGTCAGAAGTCTACCTTGTTTGACTAAATGCTGGTTGCTCAGGACACTGACAGTTTTCAGGGTTACTTGGAAAAAAGTATACTTGTTTTGGTAGTGTTCAAGTGATGTAGCTGTGATGGTCCTGAAGTGACAGGAAGAAAAATACACCACATTCAAAAAGTTTGTCCAAGTCTATCCAAACCATGCAGTTGGTCCAATAAAAGATACCAGCCATAAAAATCTTTGGCGCTCATATATTTGTTGTGTAATTCTTGAAATAGCTGCCTCAAATCCATTACTCTGGTAAGCATCAAAAAGCGTTTAAAATATCTGAACCGTGGCATACAGTATTATCATC